TCCTCCCAAACCCAGTCCAGCAGCAAGAATAATTTTTGATAAAAATCTTAAGGGAGGAATTAGATTCAGCAATGTTAGTTGTGAGACATGGACAACCCCAATTAAAGGGAGCACTGTCTATGCTGTCTGTCACCTTTGAAGATGCCCCATTTCCCTCCTCCACCCTACATATAATGATTACTAGCTCTGCAAAACAGTTTTATCTTTTAAATAAGCTTTGAATTATTTCTCTTTTTTGTATCTCTTTCAGACCTGCATCATTTTTCACCTGGACAATTGTGGTATCTTGCTATCTGTCCTCCCTTAAATTTGTCCTCCATGATATAGCAGGAATGATCTACATTAAATGAAATGTAACTATAGTTAGAATCCTTGAATTATTCCCTTCACTGAATAAATCATGTTATTTCAGGAAGCTCTTTAGCAAAATAATTAGATTTCTCTAGTTCTTCACTCCATCTTGACCACCCCCACACACCAATCCATCTTGGTCTAATCCTGGCCTGCCTCTACTTCCCTCATCATCCCAAGCTGTTTCCTGTTACTGCGTCTGCCCTCCCTTTTTTCTTGACTATGCTAGTTCCCACTCATTCCCAGCAAATCCTTCCCTGAACCCCAGGCTGGGTTATGATTCCCTCTTGATTCTCCCATTGAACCCTGTGCACCTACTATCATATATTATAATACACTATTTTCATTTCTGTGTGTCTCTCCCTCTGGACTGAAAGCTCTGGGGAAACCAGTACAGTGACCCAGCACAGTAGCCAGCTCCCGCTCCTCACTCAGAGATCAGATCTAATGTCACTTCTCAGAAAGGCTACCATTGATCACCTGATACACCCTCACCTACCTTACTTAGCACTTCCTGGCATTTCCTTATTTACTTGTTTGTTTATAGTTTGTTTTCCAACTAGAATATGAACTCTAGGATTTGAGACTTTTTCTGCCTTATTTGTCCACTGCCTAGAAAACTTCCTGATATATAGTTGGTCTTTAATACATATGTATTTTTCAAAACTGAGATAAATGAATGGAGCGTGAGTGGAAGGATGGATTGATGGGTAGATGGACACATAATAAGAAGTCATTAAATACTCAAGACTGAATTAGCCTATTTATATTTGATTGGCAGTGATAAGCTAATAATTGTGGCAGGTTACTTTTTTAACACCTTTAAAGGACAATTGTTACTTTTTTAACACCTTTAAAGGACACCATATTAACTTCAATATTTACTTCTGGGACTCACTGCTATAGACCGTCACTTACTTTTTTAATGTATCCTAATTTGTGAAAGTTCTGTTTTATCCCAAATGCCACTAGTGATACTCTATGTTTCCTTCCTGTTAATCCTTTTCCCTAGTATGTGTAAGTACATATCTCTCATATAAAATAACAGCAGAGGAAACAGACACAGAATCAGCCTGTGTTGAGCTGCTGAACTCTTCACTTTATCAATTGATATTATTTTCTGTTTATGAAGCAGAGCATGTTGGCTTAAATTCCAGACTCCTTTTACGAGTTTAACTTCCCTCCTCATAAGTTTTCTCATTTATTATATTGTCATGATAACCTTTTCCCCTTAAAATATTAGTTTGATTATGTGAGGAAATACATGTGGATACTCTTTTCCAACTTCAGAATGTTTATGTACAATTACGTTTCTCATTAGGTAGTATTTCATATCCTTTCCTCCTTTATCTGATAGTGACAATAATGTATCTTTCTTTTAAGCATCTTACTGCTCACTGCTAAAGGTCACTTAATCTTAGATGTATAATCATTTGCATTCTGAATTGCAACTCCTTCATTAGCTTTTATAACTGTCAAATTTAATAGGACGTTGGGGAGGTGGATAGCTCAGGCAAAAGGAAATTGGATTTTGAACCTTTTATTATGATGACATCCATTTGATCATGGTCCAAATGATTAGTGAAGAAAAGCTGCTGTCGTGACAACTTTCCAGTGTGAAATGAAGTATGAGATTTGGATTTGATTATTAGTTTACTGTTTAGAAGAAAAAGCCCCAATACCAATATTCAGCCCATATGTATTGAGCTCGTCCTGTGTACAAGCCACCATGCCCATTTAAGGAAGCAACCGTTTAAAGACACAGTGCCTCCCCCATCTACACTGAAGGGCATGTCTCCTCAACTCTGAAGAGAAACACGTGTGTGACTTTACAGAACTAGGCTCATTATTTTTTAACAATCTATATTTATAAAGGCAAAGCATTTTTTACCTTTTTTATTTTTTATCTCCTCACAACTGGTGAATTAGGTGTTATCATAACCCTGATTTTTAAAATGAGAAAAATTGAGGAGCACTAACCAGTAAGGAAGGGAGCTGATGCCAAGACCCCCATCTCACACACACACACACACACACACACACACAGTCAGGTTTCCTCTGCTGGGTTTTACTAATTGGCAACATGCAGGGTGTAAGTGAATGTTTTAAATACTTATTTTTTTAAAATCATGTGGAATTGAAGACTGAGTAAAGAAATATAGCATTTGTAAATTTAACACCACAACGAGACAGTTTATGTAAAAATACTTTGTAAATTGTGAAGCCATATATATGTTTTATTTGAATAAATGACTAGTGAGGATATGACAAAGAATGGGAGCCTTATGGTGGAGTAAATAAATATATATGCAAATACATTTTTTAAGTCGCTGATTGGTGTTTGGCTTATATGATAATGCAAGAGTTCACAGCCAATGTGTTTATTGATATGTTAGTTAATAAGAAAAGGTTGGTTGGTTAAAAGTAGTGATAGAGTAGACTTATTAAATAGTGTGCTTTGAGGTCAAATCACTTTTAAAATGGTTACAAATTAGGTGAAAGTGTCTAATTCAGCATATGGTTTTTGAAGTACACAACTAAATGTCAGAGCGTTCTTTCTAAGGTTGCCATGCAGTTTTAATTCATCAAAGCTGGCTCCTTAGCTCTACCTTTCCACTAACTGACCTGCAATAAATGGCCTTCCTGCCTGCCGCATTTCCCACCCAGACATTGCACAACTCACGGACAAGGGTGTTTGAGACTCCTTTCATGGTGCAATCCTAAAAAGTCAGCCTCCTGAGGTTATCAAAGTGTTGTCATGAAAGTCTTAGTGCTTTTATGAAGTTTGTAAAAATCTTATAAAATGGAAAGTAAAGAAAGACTCCAAAGACTCAGCATTTGAGCTTTCAATGATAATTATTTTGGAATGTGAAAATTAGATTATTATCTGTGGCTGCTAATACTGCAGTTCTAAAAATGAATGGCTTCTTAATTTAATGACTTGAAAGTGATAAAGTACACCTTCATAAAGTGCTAAACAGCTCTAATTAGATGTTTTAGAAAATATCTTGGTATCTATATTTAACTTATCAAGTGAAACATTTATTAATCACTAGTTACAAAGAGGCAATTTTTGGTGTATTAATGTCATTTTACTAATAAAATCTGATTAAGATTATTACTTATCCACATATTTTTATCCTTTTTATAAACAGTGTTTAAAGGTTTTTAAAGTAATTAGAGAAACGTTAGTCCTGTGTTTAGAACTACTTATTCTCTGCTCATGAAATGGAAAAAAGAGACATGTCTATGATGAAAAAAAAATGGTTACCAATGGGAAAAATCTTTGTAAATTTAAAAAATATTATAATCCAGCAGCAGAATTTTTTCTTTCAGATTTTTAACCTCTAACTGATATAAATATTTCATTACACATAAATGTTAGACTTCAATAGTAATTAAAATTTATAAAATATGCTGGTGGCAATCACTGATCAAGTTGACTTTCATAACATAGCATTTAATAATGAGAGCGTGGTCCTTTCACATTTTCAGAAATACTGATAAATTATTGTAACATACCTTATAATAGGATTATTATATTTATTATATAACTCTAACTTGGCAAAAATTGAGTATCATGTATAAAATGTTAGTGAAATTAAGACTAGATGTTACTTATAATATTTCTTATTAATTATAAAAATTAAATTTAAAATAACTGTACACACTGGTAAAATTTTATAAAGTAATTATAAAAAGCAAATATATGTAATATAAATATATACAATTTTTAGGTGGATTGACCTCCAGTTCTGTTTCAAAATTTTAAACAAATTTGTTATCTAAGAACATATCATTTGAGTATTTTATGCTTTAATCTTAGTATTTTAAATTTTTTTAGTAAATGTATCTTCAATTTTCAAGTCACAAATAAAGAAAAATTAGAGAAGAAAATGCAAATGTAAGCACAGAATTCCAACTAGTAGTTCTGAATTTTTAAATAAAAATATTAGAAATAGAAATATTTTCATATATTGATTTACAGAGTGGCATGCATACTGTTGTGTATAATGTCAGAGAGTTTACCTGCTTACTTTAGAAAAATAATATGTCAACATATTTCTATTATTTATAACCTACCACAAGTTATTATTATAATGTTTTAAATGTTGACAGATTTACACATTGCGTTTTTTTGTTGTTGTTTTTTTTTTTTGTGGAATCATAACTGACATTAGTTATAAAAATCTAAGTTAAAAAATTTATAGTAGTGAGAAATGCTAAGTCAGTGTGAAAATGATTTTGATATAAATCCAGAAGAAGGCTAGAAAAGAAATAATAAATCAAAAGATATTTATTGAGAAGTTATGATTTATGAGTCACTCTAATCCCTAGGAATGTGAAATATGAGATTGGCCTTTTATGTAATCAGCAACCAAAAGATAATTGTACATAATGCAGAATCATAATGCAGAGGGAAGTGTCTGTTAGATGCCACACTCAGAGAAAGAAGAGATTGTCATGAGGAACAAGATTGGTTTCTTTCGTGCAGTGATCCATGACATCTGTAAAGTCCATGGGGCTTACAGGGCACCATGGTGCAATTCAAAATCATTGAGAAAACATGTCTCATCCTGTCTAACCATCACGTTAAAATATGAGTTATTTCTAATAACATTCACATTCTTTTTTCGATTTGTTCCCAGAATGCTCGGGCCCATTGGGAATCGAAGGTGGAATCATATCAAATCAGCAAATCACAGCGTCATCTACCCACCGAGCTCTTTTTGGACTCCAGAAATGGTATCCCTACTATGCTCGTCTGAATAAGAAGGGGCTTATAAATGCCTGGACAGCTGCAGAAAATGACAGATGGTCATGGATTCAGGTAACAAATGGGATGGGACAGGGTTATTGCTAAAGAATGACCAGAGTCATGTCAGGAAGAACTAGAGGAGAGCCCAAATGTGAATTTTCTTCATGGACACAGAGGAAAGTATAATTTAGTTAAGAGTCCAAATTGGCTATCAACTCTGAAAATGTGAAAAACATACATTCCATAGGAAAGTGTGTTAAGAGGGTTAATTTTTTAAATTTGTGGATTATAAATATTACTGTTTTAAAGTGCATATCAAAGAAAGTGGTTTTTACAATAGCTAAGATTTTTCAATATATATTTCCATTTATTATCATCAACCAGCTATTTTTTAAAACAGCAGAATATCAATAAAACAATATTAGTACCAAGATATTGCTATCTTGGTATATCAATATCTTGATTTCCCAAAGATGGAATTGATAGCAATGCCAACACTTTATATTAAATTCATATCAATGCTTTTTGAGCACTTAGCTGAAATGAGGCAGTAAACTACATAGTATGGGGACACAAAAGGTGATCACAGCAATTTTCTGTTAAAAGATTATACCTCTGTTGGAGTTGGGGGGCGAGCACATTAATAACATCTCACAAGTCATTGATGCGTGCTACAGAGAAGGAAAAATCCAGTACACAATGAGGTCAGAGAAAGAAGTAATTATCATGAGAAAATCTCACAGGGAAGGTGAATTCTAAGATAAGCCTTGGAAGATGGCTTTCAGTAGAGACTAGAAGGCACGGGAATAGCATGATCAAAGATGCGAGGTAAGAATCTGGTGAACACCATAAAGAAAATCATTTGTGTATAGGTGTGCTGGAGAAATGTGCACACTTTAGAGTGTGAGTTTAATGTGCCTTAAGATTCATACGTATGAAAAAGTTTGGTATTTTCACTTTGGAATAGGGAGCTATCACAGAATTATGATTTGTCTAGGTAGCTGATATGTTTCATCTGTTTACTACATATTTTATGTCAAGGTAATTTTAAACATGAGAGTCTGTGATGGACATTATTAGGTACAATGTGTAGGGGCTGCTTTACATGCAGTTAATAGGAAGAAAACGTTACCTGTGCCCAAATAGCTTGACTTCCGCACTTTAGGAACAGGGCCAAAATCTCGTTTGGATGTTTTCTTTGTTCAGGTTTCTTGGGAATTTTTGCATGTCCTATATACATTTCCTTTATAAGACTCTGTGTGGTTACCTGATATTTTTGTTTTGTTTTATGAATTTATATTTCTATGCATTTGAAGAAATTGTTTCTTAAATTACACATGATTCTTCTAATCTATAGCCACATGTGCAACAAGAATTCCAGATAAAGGAAGTGGCACATCTGTATAGTTTCGATCATAGACTAATGAATATTCAATTACAGTTTAAAATAGACCAAAACAAAAAAGTGCTTGCATTCTATTCGCTAAAAATTATTCTAGAGACCATTTTTCAACTTGACTACTATTAAATGCATTAGTGGAATTGAAGTCATGATAAAACCTTAGAAATTAAGATTTAGAACAGAAATTGCAGAACAATTGAGAGATGACATCACAAGTTTGCATCAAAGTTTCTATTTGGCAGATCATGTTTGTGAGTTTTGATAAATTACAAATAACATACTTTTGCAATGTTTTCTCTGGGAAAACATTAAAGCTGTATTAAAGCTTCATGTCCTGATATTTCACTTTAGTTTGTCCCAGTTTGTTGCTTACTTAATGCATCATTATGCCTTTCAAAGTATGAATGAACTTTTAGTTCTCTTTATCCCATGCTTTTTGAAAGATAAATATAAATTGATCAACTTAAGTAGAATATTTAGTTATTTCTTTTACTTTTAAGGGCAGTTTATTATTATTACCATTATTATTATTTTGCTATTACTGTACAGATGATAATGAGCTCATAGAAAATAAAAGTAAAGCCCTGGCCGGTTTGGTTCAGCGGTTGGAGCGTCGGCCTGCGGTACAGAGAGACCCGGGTTCTGTTCCCGCTAAGGGCACGTACCTCGGTTGCAGTTTGTCCCCGGCCCTGGTTGGTTGTGCGGGTGGCAGCCACTCGATGTGTCCCTTCACATCGATGTTTCTCTCTCTCTCTCTTCCTCTCTCTCCCTCCCGCTCTATCTGAACAAAAAAATGGAAAAATGTCCTCGGGTGAGGATAAAAAAAAGAAAATAAAAGTAAAAGTAAATAAAAAGGGTTTCATATTAGATGAAAATATCTTGTAGATAATGAGAGGAAAACTGAAAACTCACCATTGTTATTCAATAGTACTTGTGATTATGTTCAGAGTATATATTGTTACGTATTCTTTAACAACTTTCTAAGTTATTTTTCTAAAATATTAAAAGTTATTCCTTTCTTAAAAGAAAATCCTATTTAAGAGGCTCTGGAAAGGCAAATCATGTACCAAATTTTCTGTGTTGAACATTATTAATTTCTTTGTCATTTAATTTTTTAATGTATTGCTCCTTCAAATGAAACATTTAAGTACTTGGCTTAAACTCACTTAAAATGAGCACAGTATTCCCCTAATCTTTCAAGTCTTTGACACACATGAACTAATTAATATTCAATTTTATTTTATTCCTTGTCTTGATGAAATAAAACTTGAAATCACCATTTTAAATGCACATGCTCAGCATACTATTACTGACAGCACCATAATGTTTGTGGTTGGTTCTGGATTTAAAGGATTGGTCTAGTGAATACAGTTAAACAGAGACTTGTTTCTTCCTTTTTTATTTTCAAGTTTTTCTGATCTTTATTTCCTCAAATGAATTTTATTCAACAAATAAATCACCACCTTAAATACTGATTGGTTCATTAGCATCCTGGAATATCAATTTCTTTTTCTGATTAATATGTTAGAAATAGCAACTTTGTACAATTATGGAAATATGTATTGGGTTAGCTCATATGAAAATGCAAAACCTTATTTAAATCTTCTGGGTACTTGGCTAATTGATTTGGGTCAGTCAAAATGACTATTTCTTATTTATTTTAAAGATAATTATTTTCTGTTATTTTTATTTTCATACCTACATGTAGCCAAATATTGTATTTTAAAATTTTTCTGAGGTAATTTTGTTTTAATGTATTTCCAGCTTCATCTTTTATCCATTCAACACACATGTATTGAACAAATGTCTCCACTGTGTTCTAGACACTAGAAAACAGACAGCGCTTGTCTTCAAAATGCTCTCAGTATAAGATACAGAAAAGCAAATGGGGTAAACAACCATAAACTTTTGTGACCTGGTCTTACATCATCTGCTAACTATTTTTTTGAACCATTATATTTTACTATATACAAATAACCTTTTTTTTAATCCTCACCAGAGGACATTTTTCCATTTTTGTTGTTGTTGTTGTTATTCAGATAGAGTGGGAGGGGGGGAGAGAGAGAGAGAGAGAGAGAGAGAGAGAGAGAGAGAGAGAGAGACATCGATGTGAAAGGGGGGAGAGAGAGAGAGAAACATCGATGTGAAAGGGGCACATCGAGTGGCTTGCCACCTGCATGACCCAACCGGGGCAGGGAACAAACCACAACCGAGGTACGTGCCCTTAGTAGGAACCGAACCCGGGTCTCTCTGGACCGCAAGCCAACACTCTAACTGCTGAGCCAAATTGGCCAGGGCTACAAACAACCTCTTTTGATAGAACTTTTGTTAAACTAAAAACCAGTTTAACATAATACGAGAGGAGAGAAATCCCTGTTGCACTATGTAATACATAGCTATATTATTGCCTGCTGATCAATTTGATGGGTATACCTAGGCAAAGCCATACTTTTCCTTTGAAAGTTAATGGACTAGTAGTTTCAGTACTTTATCAGTATTTTATCACCGAGAATAATAGGTTTGGATCTTTCTTTTAAATAATTTATTATCCTTTTTAAAAAATGTGGATATGATTTTAATATGTTCCTTTTCCATGTGCCACCTAGTTTGCAGAAGGAAAAGATACTAGTTTCTCAATCTTTGAGGTGCACAGGTGTCACATGATCCCTGGGTAAAACAGAGCCGTCTGGATTGACCCGCAGGCCTCCTGCAGGTCATCCTGGAACTGCGCTGTAATAATGTGTTTCATTGGCTCATAAAGCTTGGGTTTGTACTGCTTGAGTTACATTACAAAATAGATAAATAAAATTTAGAAACATGGGCACTTTGTTGTTGGGATTGCAGGTAGTAATAACCTCATAGGTGGAAGGAGAGAAATGAATAGTGAAGAAAATGAGGAAGGATAGTGGAAAATACGTGACCCAGAAAGTTTCTGAACTGTAGGTAGGCTGAACTGCATTATAGATCCTGGTCAGAAGTATGTCCACTTTTAGCAGCAATTTGTAAGTAAGCATTTATTCATTTGTTGTAAAATGCATCAGCATTTCAAAAGTTAATGTTCCCAAATGGCTATTGGATTCTTCATTGTTAGGAAATTTAAAATATCCCAAAGCAAGACCATCTGACTTTTTCATTTTTAAACAAAACAACAGTATAGAAAACATGGGCCCCAAAAAGATTATGTGAGTGAAAATTACATTATAAATTCACATCTCTGAAGTACAAATTCTATATATAGTGGAGGATTTTTCTTAAAACTTTGTGGACAGTAGAATTCAAACTAGTGCAAGAAATAGAGCAATCATTTACTTCACTCAAAAGCCTGCATATAATATATGTGAAAACTTTCTTCGTACTTATAGACACCTGGAGTTCCTTGAGACAAAAAAAAATTTTTTTTAAATACCAAGTAGATTATTTTTCAGGTTGTTTCTAGCAATGGAGCCCAAATTACACATGTATGTGTATTCTATATGCATATACAAATGTATAGATTCGAATCCATCTTTACTACTTCTTCATCCAAGTTGAAAATATTTTAGCCTTTTTTTTCCCCTGGGGGGTGTGGGGAAACCAACATTTCCCTATACACTCTTATCAACATTAAACACCTCTCTAAGTCTAATTATAGCTAGGTATTAATATATTGCTTTTTCTAATCATCCTTTTT